AGTATTCGTCACGAATATAACATTGATAACCCACTAACGGGTGCCCAATTGGTATCGACTTCTTTTGCAGATCTTCCAAAGTAACAAAATGATAAGTAGTAGCCACTGTTGTTTCGGCAGGGCCATAAAAGTGGACAATTCGACTATTTGAGCTAAGACGACGCACGAGTTTTGAGGTTGTTTTAGGCTGGATTACTTCGCCTATAAAAGAAAAGAGCTTGCTGCTGGGATTAAACGAAATTTCCATGTATCGTACCTACCGCCACAGCAAATAGTTCGAAGCGTTTCCATATGATTAATTTGCTCTGTCTCTTTCAGAAATGCTTCTATAATTAACATAAATGTTGGAATAAAAATAGCAAATGTTATTTGTTTCTTATGAATAACAGACATTAAATAGTTCAGATCTAAATTTCCTTCTCTTTTTAACATGACTAATGTGGCTCCTGCAGTCATAGAACCTAATAATTCTAACAAATGAACGTCAAATGAACATGCAATAAGTTGTAAAACAAGATCGATGTTGGTCATAATATTCAAATGTAATACGGTTTCCATACCAGAAATAAAACTTCTATGACAAACTTGAACCTACAAGAGAGAGAAGAGGGATGTTAAAGAGACTAAAAAGCAATAATTAAACTTAATTCCTTACTGCTTTTGGCTCACCAGTTGAACCAGACGTGAATAAACAATAAGCAATATTATCAACAGTCACAAGTATATTTGACAACAGGTTTAAATCTTTCTCATCACACATGATTTGACAGCCACAGATAGCTTGCTGAATATTAATAAAATAAATGTTATCTTCGTTCTTCTTATCAATAAATTTATTTTGTGTTAATGAATGGATGAGTACAATATTTGATTTTAAATCCTTTATCAACACTAAAGTGCGATTTATTGGATCATTTGGACTTAAAGGTGTATAGCAAGCACCACAAGAAAGTATTGCAAGAATACCAATGACCATTTCAATAGAGCGCTCAACACATTGACAAATAATATGGCCAGGTTGAACACTACATTCACGAATCAAATATGACGCGAAATATTGTACTCTATGTAATACTTCACCATATGTCAATGACTGTTCATCTAACATTACACAAATCTTTTGTGGATGGTTCACAGCTTGTTCGACAAATTTGTGGTGTATACATTTCATTTGTTGAGGATCAAAATCAACATGTGATCGCTTGTTTATACTTTGCAACAGCTCTGGTTCTCGGTAATTGTTTACGATCTATTTTCCCATTTGAATTTAATGGAAATTCATCTAATATAATAAACAGAGATGGGACCATATAGGATGGTAAGGATGGTATTTATATGATTTGAATACATTGCTTGATAATAATTAAACAATTTTATTAACAAGAGAGAATTACCACCTAATGAAAAGAAATTGGCATTCATCGAAATTTTATCCAAATTTAATACTTTACACCA